GTAATAAATTTTGGTATTCTTTCCATGCTAGGACAGAGATCTACTTCATTCTTGTTTTTTATTTTTTATATAGTATTGTATAGAAACATGCGTTATTTAATATTCCTCTAATATTGACCATGAAAGTTGTTTCTTTTTATTTTTGCTGTTAAAATATTGCACAGTTTTCAAATTAAAAATGCGCCCACCTTTAATACCACAATTTATACTACAGATATATTTGACATATACATATCGTTCATGGTATATGTACAAATGATTCTTTTTTTAAAACTTTTTATTTTAAAAATAATTTTAGACATATAGAAAGTTACAAAAATAGTACAGAGAACTCCTATATACCAAGCTTCCCCTAATGTTAACACCTTATACAATTATGGTATAATTATAATCAAGGAAATTAACATTAGTACAATACTGTTTACTAACCTACATACTTTATTTGGTTTTATCGATTTTACCACCAACATCTTTTTTTCCAGTCCAAGATTCAATCTAGAATCACACTTTCCATTTAGCGATTATATCCTCTTAGTCTTCTTTGATCTATTACAGATCCTCACTCTCTTTGTCTTTCATTATCCAAGTCTTTTGAAAAGTACTGATTAGTTACTTTGTAGAATACTTCTCAATTTGGGTTTGTCTAATGTTTACTCATAATTATATTTAAATTATTTATTTTGGGCAAGAATACCACAGATGTGATGTGCTCTTCTCAGTGAGTGTATCATATGAGAGGTATGTGATGTCAATATGTCTTATTATGGGTGACATTTAACCTTGATCACTTGGCTAATGTGATGTTTGCCAGGTTCCTCCACTGTCAAGTCATTATTTTTCCCTTTGCAATTTTAGTAAATATCTTTGGGATAGATATTGTGAAAATATTCAAATATTCTGTTTCTCTTCAAACTTTCACCCACTTTTGAAGCAACTCTCACAGTAGATTTTTCCTGCAGTCATTATTACTATGCTCTTCTAATGATGATTTCTTCTTTCCCTCATTCCTACTACATTTATTAAGTGAAATTTCTCATGAGGGAGAGCAGTTCTTTCTCTTCCATTTATCTATTCAGTTATTTATTAATATAAGTATAGACTCATTCACTTTTATTTTGTGGGTTATAATCCAATACTTTAGTTATTTATTTTGTTACTCAGTTGTCTCAGTTTGGGCTATAAGGATCTCAGGTGGTACTTGTGCCCTTTCAACATGTCCCTGTCTCCCTTTGAGCTCTTCCTTACTTTCAGGTACCACAGAATGTCCTAGGCTCATCTTAATTTTTCCCTGCCCCAACCCTGTAATCAACCAGTTCTCTAAGATACCTTGGTTTCTTTAACTGGGGAATGGTATTTAGAAACCAAGATATGGACACTGGATATGCTCATCGCCACTGAGTTAGCCTTGCTTCTGAGAATTCATTATTTTTTGCATTTACATTTTTCTCCTGGGTCATGACATTTAGAATATCCATTCATTGATTTTTTTATATTAAATACATTTAAGGCTATAAGTTTTCCCCTGAGTACTTTGATATATAACGTTTTCATGATCATTTATTTCTAAATAGTTTATAATTTCCATTTTTATTTCCTTTTTAGCCCAAGTTTTATTAGATATATGTTTAAGTTTCATGTATGTAGGTGTTTTGACTGCCTTTTTGTTGTAAATTTTTAATGTAATTTTATTGTGGGTGATGAATGTGGGTATATATACATTTTTCTTTTTTAGGGTATATTAAAATTTCAGTTGTGGCTAATTACATGGTCAATTTTTATGATTATACCACCACGTGTTTGGAAGAAACGATCATTAGATATAAGTCCCAATTATAGCCATATATCAAGCTTGTTAATTATGTTATTCAAATACCCCATATCTATACCTATTTTTCATGTCACTGTGACCATTTCATTTCTGTGAGGTATGTGTCAATACCTTTCACTATGATTATTAATTTGTTCTCATTGGATTTGTAACAGTTTTTTCTTTATATATTTTGAAGCTATGTTTTGGGTATATAAAAGCTTATAATTATCTTCTTTTCTTGGTGGATTGGAATTTTTATCAAAATGAAAGAGTTGTTGATACATTTAATGTTTTGCTAGTTATAATATTAATATATTTTTAAATCATTTTTAAAGCATCTGTCTAGCATATATTTTCCTAACTTTTTGTTTTCTACATTCCTCTGTTAAATTTTTTTTAGAAGTGACTTTTGATAACATTTTGGCAAACTTTTTTTCTCTTAGTATGCTAAGAGAAATACTAGTCAGGGTACAAAGTAGGACTGAAAATAGGAGGATTCATTTCAAATATTTTAAAGATGCCTTTAGGCTTTCAAGAACTCTTTCTTTCCACCCTACCTCTCCAAAGACTTAGAATTACCTTGTTCTATTCCGGCAGGGGGCCTAGGTACTAGCAAAGCAGCTAGTTCTCAACCTGATTATTCCACAGTGAAGCCCATCGTTTAACATTTTCTATACACACACACAAGCTTACAGACAGCATTTCAATGCCTCATTCATTAGGTTTTTAGTAAGAGAAAATAGTATAATAAGTACCCCTTAACACAGATTCAGAAATTACCCAGATTTTTCCGGCAGGGGGCCTAGGTACTAGCAAAGCAGCTAGTTCTCAACCTGATTATTCCACAGTGAAGCCCATCGTTTAACATTTTCTATACACACACACAAGCTTACAGACAGCATTTCAATGCCTCATTCATTAGGTTTTTAGTAAGAGAAAATAGTATAATAAGTACCCCTTAACACAGATTCAGAAATTACCCAGATTTTGTCATATGTGTTTCAGTGTTTCATCTGTCCTTTCTTTTTTTTTTTTTTTTTTTTTAAGTAATCCAAGGGTTGTCAATTTTTTTAACCTTCTCAAAGAAACAGCATATGTGTTTCAGTGTTTCATCTGTCCTTTCTTTTTTTTTTTTTTTTTTTGCTGAAGTAATTAAGGGAAATCCAAGACTGCATGCTATTTTCACCCCTATTTACTTTAGTGTGATGTACCATTTTAAAAAATATAACAACAGTGTTATTATACCCAAGTTAGCAACAGTCCCTTGGTATTATCTAACTCCCAGTCCGTAATCAAATTTCCTCAATTCTTAAAAAAAATTGTTTTACAGTTTATTTGTTTGAATCTGGTTCTATACAAGGTCCTCATGTCACATTTGATAGTTACTTTTCTTGCTTCTCTTTTATCTAGAACATTCCCTTTTCTCCCTTTGTCGTCATTATCATGTAGAAACTGGAGCAATTGTCCTTTTAAGTGCCTCATTCATAAATATAATAGACAACAGAGGATCTTCAGATTTTTGAGGGAAGCCTCAAGTGTGCAAGACAAAAAAACAAAACAAAGGGAAAACTAAAAGAAACAGAAGCCACAGTGAACGAGCTGAAGGAAACTAAAAACACACTATAATTGATATCCTTAAAAAATAAGAAATTGTATCCATGAAAAAAAGAACAAGGGGTTGTAAAAAAAGGGGTCCTTTTGGAAAATAAGAAAGAATTCGTGGTAAATTAAAATATGGTAGCAGAAATTAAATATTTCACAGGCAGGATGAAAGATAATGAAAGTGGAACAAAATGTCAAAAGTGGCAATGAAAGGTTAAGAAAATTAGAAGACTTACCCAGGAGGCCTCGCATCCAAAATAATAGAAAAATATTCCAGAAAGAAAGCAGAGACAATGGAGGGGAAGGGAATTATTTTCCCTTGGTGGAAAATTCCTGAAACTAAAGACCATTAGTTTCCAAAGCAAATATTCACCATGTACACTATCATGATAATATATTGTGATCAAATTTAAGAATATAAAATGAAAAGAAAAAATTTTTGAAGCCTCTGAACTGGGGTGGGGGTGGAGTAGGGAGGGCCTACCTTGTATCATACAAAGAAGTAGGCGTTAAAATGTCATTGGACTTCTGAGAAGCAGCATTGGAAGTTAGCAAACAGTGGAACAGTGCCCTGATTTTCTGATGAAGAATATTTTTCTCATCTGTGATTCTAAATTCAGCTAAACTGTCCAGTCTGAGATAAAGACATTTCAGATATTCCAGGTCTCAAATTTACCTCCCATGCACGAAAATCTCCTAGAAGACTTATTCCACCAAAAGGAGTAAACCTAGGAGGAAGACTGTAGAACCAGGATACAGCTCTCACGTGAAAGACAGCTGAGGACACTTCTTGAAATGAAAGGGAAGGGAAGTCCCAGGATGACAGCTGTATAGTCAAACCAGAGTATAACCAAGGCAAACAGGGGAATGGAGAGCTCTAGGAAGTCTGTCTCCTAGAAAAGAAATGATGTGGAAGAATTATCTACTGTGTCTGAAGGTACTGAGAGAGGAGAATTATACCTGTCAGATTTGGAAGAAGTGTCAGTGATAGGTAACAGAAAATTAAGAAAGAAGAAAAGGAGATGGTTTTTAATCCAGAGACAACAAAAAGTTGTACAAAAAAAGAAATATGATCATGGAATAACATGTGGTTCACTAGTGAAGAATAATGTAATTATTGCATAAGAAGATTGATGGAACTATATTGGGAAGATGAGGAGAGGAAGGCTGTGTGTATGTCTATGTGTATAGAGGTGTAGGTGTATAGGTATATATAGGAGGGTCAACTTTTATTAGGGTTGTGGTAGAGACTGCTAGCTGCCTACTGTAACATCCATTCTCCCTTCATCCTTAATAACAGAACTGTGGGTTTATCTGGGGACTAATCTTTCCAGTTAAAAGACTACATTTCCCAGCTTCACTTGCAGCGAGGTGTTGCCATGTGTCTAAGTTAGCAGTATTCAGTGATACTTCTAGGAACTCTTAAAAGGGACAGGGTGAGCCATTATTTTCCTCCTGCTGCGAATCTGGAATGGGAAATTAATTGTTGGAGTTTCTGCCATTATCATGGACTATGAAAATAAAGGACACACACCAAAGATTGTAGAGACTATTTAGGCTTATAATGGATATTTGTTTTTATTTTTAGAATCCGAGATGCAAACATACAGTTAATAAGTCAACAAAATGAATTTCAGAGAGTACAGAAAGAATTGAGTCATTTACAACATGAGTTAAGTATTAAACAGAGACAATCACAAGTCTTCAGGTAAGATTATCTTTAAAGAACTAAAAATTATAAAGATTGAAAAGATACATTTAATAGTAGCTTCATAAACATCCAAACACGTTTTAGTAGTATAGTTTCTATATTTGCTATAGTTATAAAAAATGGAAATAACTTCACTTTTTTTACCATTGTCACAACTGAATAGTTTTATCAGTAAAATTTAAATCAGGCAAACACGTTTTTATTTTGTAGTGACATTTATAATGAAAAGCACAGTAACTAATACATTTTCTTCTTGACCAATATTTCTTGGTGTATTTGTCCCCTGACCCACACACACAAAAATGATAGAGTTGGGAAACTTTCTGAATAATAGGAATAAACCTAAATTTAGAAATCTCTGACATAAATGGCAGTAATTCTGCTTTTACGTAATCTTTGGAGGGTTTATAATACCTAAAGGTAAAACCCAATGTCCTAAAGAAACTAGGATGCACGTTTTCTTTCTAACTTTAAAAATGGAATTGAATATATTGATACTATCAGAAAGAATGATTTCTTTATACATTGAGTAACTTTTAATTCTTAGAAAAGGGAAGTAAGTTAAATAACATTACAAATAGACAGGTTCAGGGTGACTAAAGAATTATATTGGATGAATATTTTGAATGTTAGGTTCTTTTTCTTTTTTCAATCTCCAGAAACATTGTTCTGTTAAAAAAATTATCTGAGCTAATAATTTTTTTATGCACTATCTGGTGATAACCTGCTGACCATTTACCTTCGATAAATGACTTACACATAAATGATGCTCAATAAATAATCTTTTAATGAATATATGAGTCTACTCACAAAACGGATGACCATTTCTGTCATCAGAAATCTTCTCTTCTCTTTCCTAGAAATCTGGTATTAAACCAGGAGAATGCTCCAGGCAAACCCAACTCTCATGTTAGTCAGGATGATCAGTGTTCAAGCTTGACTCCTACAATATCTTTGGCCCATTGCTGCTAGGGGATCCCATTTGTTTTATCAGCTAATGTCATCATGAATGGTAGGATCGACTAAATTTTAAAGGTTAGGCCAGGACCAGATTAAATAATAAATGCTGCTCAGGATATTATGGACTGAAATAGTCAATTTTCATTATTTACATTTTACATGTGATTTGTATTTTAAATTCTTGAAATAGACATACATACTTAATTGTTATTTTTATTCTGTGTTCTAATTTTGTTATCGTTTTGGGGTCTACTTGTATCTGCTTATTTTTTTCGAATGTTATTCAATAGGTCTGTGATTTTTGTTCATTTTTAGCTTTTTAAAAGATCACAGATTGGGGGTCTAGGATCTGATTTATATAAAAAAGTAGCACTTACTAAAAACAAGTTTTGAAGTAACTATCTAACTAGGCACTTAGTATAAATAAAAGTTTGTGATAGACAAATAGAAATTATTACTGGTTTTAGTCCTACTCTCACTAGTAGGTACATTGCATAAGAAAAGGCAATTTGGTGAAAATAAAATCAGACCAAAGGTGATAGAGGTCAGCTGATTTTGTCGTATTACTTAAAGCTGCTTTTACACTAATTTATTGCTTATTTTAATATTTAATATTTAAATATCTACTAGAACATAAAATTTAGTGATTGCTGTGGATAAAGAAAAGCTATAATCTCTCTTAATATGATAAAGAAAAGAAGCATGAGCTTTAGCTACTCAGATATAAGTATGTTTATAGAGCCCAAAAGGAACTTCCGATAGATCAGTGACTTATGTCTTTGAGTCATATTGGTCTTTTTAAATTATTCTCTCATTTGTTTAATTGCTATTGGGCTTAATCACTTAGCCTCTAGCAACGTTTTCTTCATGCTCTCTGTTTTTCCTGACATCATTTCCAACCTGTCTCTTGCAAGGGAGTGACCAGAAGTGGGTGTGGTATGCCTCAGCTGGCTCAGCACATCTGCTATTCAGAATTACGTGTCTTTTGAGAGTGGGAATTAACTTTAGAAGACCTGTAAACTAGACACTAAAAAACAGTATGGAATGTAGTTATACTTCATGTAAAGTAGTGTATAAATCCAATATTCCAAATCAATACATATTTGTCAAGTTTTACTTTTGCGAATCTTTCATAACTTATTTGAAATATAAACTACTTATCTTTTAATTTTTCTTATTTGTATATCTAGACGCTGTCATCTGTGAAATTTTCAATGCCAACTCCAAAAAGTCTCTCCTCCTAGATCTCTCACTTTCATTCTAACTCTTCAGCCTCATTAAGGCTTCCAATATTCATTCTGATTTTCCCAACCATTTTCTGACTTTACTTAGTTTTCTAGCCTTGATCCCATAGTTAAATCACCTCACATCTTTTTTTAAATAGTTTTATTGAGATATAATCACATGTTACAAAACCCACTCAGTTTAAATGGCATCGTAATGATTTGTAGTAAACCTACTGAGATGTGCAACCTTTACCACATTCAATATTAGAAAAGTTAATTACCCCACAAAGATCCTCGTGCCATTTGCAGTTAAAATTTGTTCTCACCCCCACTCCTAGGCAACCACTAACCTTCTTTCTCTTTCTATAAATTTGCATTTTTCTGGACATTTCAGATGTATGGAATTATACAATATGTGGTCATTTACATCAGGTTTCTATCACTTATTGTTTTGAGGTTCATCCATGTCGTATCATACATTAGTTCTTGGTTCCTTTTTATTGTTTAACAGCATTACATTGTATGGATATACCACATTTTATTTATTCATTTTCCAGTCGATGGACATTTGAATTGTTTCCACTTGGCGCTTATGAATAATGTTACTATAAACATTCACGTACAAGTCTTTGTGTAGATGTATGTTTCATCTCTTTGGGATAAATCCCTAAGTGTGGAATTACTGAATCATATGGTAAATTTAAATTTAACTTTGTAAGAAACTGCTAAACTCTTTTCCAGGTGGCTGCACCATTGTATATTCCTATGAGAAAGGAGGATTCTAGTTTCTCTGAATTCTTGCCAACTCTTCTTATTATCTGTCTTTTTATTTGTAGCCATTCTAGTGGGTATGAAATGGTATCTCATGGTGACTTTTATTTGTGTTTCTCAAATGACCAATGACATTGAGCATCTTTTCATGTCCTTATTAACCATTGCATGGTTATTTGGTGACATATCCATTAAAACATTTTGCCTATGTTTTCATTGGTTTGTTTTGTTTTCTTGTTATAGGATTATAAGAGTTCTCTTATAGTTTGAGTACTGGTCCTTTATTTGAAGCATGATTTGCAAATATTTTCTCCCAGTCCGTGGCTTATGTTTTTATTTTTATAACAGTGTTTGATGAGCAAAAATTGTTGTTTTTGAGGAAGTATAATTTGTCAATGTTTTCTTTAATGGATTGTGCTTTTGGTAATGTATCTAAGAACTCTGCTTAACTGGATTACAAAGATTCTCTCTTGTCGTTTTGTATAAAAGTTTTATAGTTTAAGCTCTTACATTTAGGTCTATGATCCATTTTATGAATGATGTAAGGATCTAAATTCATCTTTTTTTCATGTGGATGGTCAGTTGTTCCAGCATCATTTGTTTAAAAGACTATTCTTTACCTATTGAATTGCCTTGGTGCCTCTATCTAAAATCAATACATTGTGAATGTAGAGAATCATTTCTGGACTCTCTAATCTACTCCATTAATATATATGCCTGTTCTTATGTCAGTACCACACTCTCTCTTGAATACTGTAATTTTTAGTAAATGTTAAAATCAAGAGATGTTAGCCCTCCAAATTTCTTTGTTTTCAAGGTTGTTATGGCTATTCTGAGTCCTTTGCATTTCCATGTGAATTTTAAGATCAGCTTCTCAACTTCTGCAAAATAGCCTGGTGGGATTTTGATAGATATAGCATTGAATCGACTACAGATCAATTTGGGAAGAATCACCATCTAAAAATATAGAATCTTTCAATTCATGAACATGAATTGTTCTTTCTATCAAGAGCTTTAGTTCTCTGAGAAATGGTTGTTTTTAGTATACAGTCTGCACTCCTTTTACTAAATTTATTTCTAAGTATTTTGTTTTTTTGATGTTATTATGAGAAGGATTCTTTCCTTAATTTTATTTTTGGAATTGGTAATTACTAGTACACAGACATAAAATTGATTTTTGCTTATGGATCATGTATGCATGTGACTTTGATGAGCCCATTTTGTGTGTGTGTGTGTGTGTGTGTGTGTGTGTGTGTGTGTGTGTGTGTTCAGGATGTTTCTACATAGAGGATGTCTCTAGATAGAGGATGTTTCTGCCTAGAGGAGTTTACCAGTACTTCAGCTCCTTTTACCTCTGCTCATTTAGTCATAATTATCCTTAAAACCCTCAGTCTTCATACTTACTTATAAGTTGTTAATCATCAAGCCCTAAATTCTTCCAATACTAATCTAAGTCCTATTTTCGCTTAGACTCCCCTGTGCTACTCATCTCTTAGCTCCTGTGTGTCTTGCTGCATATTTCACACAGAAAGTTAAGGATATCGACACAGGTAGATTTACTGCAAATCAAATGATACTTGAGTTTCAAAATGGCTCACTCAGGACCCCCTCCCAAGGTTCTCAAAGGGCCCCTGGCAAAAGTAAGATGATTTAATTGTAATTGGTTAAAAAGTCTGTCTTTTCTCACTCTGATATCCCCTCTCTTAAACTTCTGAAGTCAGTATTGGAGTAGTCATAGCATTTGGGGAACCGAAAAAGGGAAAGTTGAGTTCAGAATACACTACTGTAACTGCCATTTGGTAAGACATTTTAGAATTCTTCAATAACACAAGTGAAGGATTATAGGCTAAAAATTTGGATATGTATGAATTTTTTAAAATTAATGGAATAAAAGCATAAATATGAGCAATTCAAACGGTAGAAATTATTCTGTCATAAAGAAACAAATTGTAACAATAATATTTTTCAGATTATATCATGAGCTAATTCATTAAAATAGAGGTATATTTTTAATAAAAGCTTTTGGCTTATTAAATAATTCATTCAGTGAAGAGAAGTTAATTATTTTAATACATTGGAGAAATATTAAGCCTCTTGCTAATGTGACAAAATCTACTAACATCACTGAATATAACATAAAAATCATATTATACCACTTCAAGGACATCTAAGATAAACTGGTTCATTAGTTTATTATTTTAAAGATAATTTGACCAGTCATTTTTTGAGAAAACTTGAAATGCTAAAAATCTTAAAATTATATATGAAAAATATTGGATAAAGATTTTTCCAAATTTGACAGTGCTTAATATTTGCACGGCATTACCAATAATAAACAATAATAAACTACGAAGCTGAAAGAATCTTTTTAAACTATCAATAATAAAAAACTAATGGCAATGCTATATGAAAGCCTATGTAATCTTTATATTCTTGCCATATAAAGCATTATTATAAAATGATTCTCATATGGAGAGGTACTTGTAGAGTATGTAGCCAAAAGTTGTAAGCAAAAAGTATTTTAGAGCTGTTGCTTATTAAAAAGTTATATTGTTTTCCTGTATTTTGTGATGAAATTTATCAACTTAAAAGTTTTGATTTTTAAATTTAATTTTTTCTCATTCTATAAATAATTATACACTTTTAAACCTAATTTTGTAAGTCATCATTTTTACATATTTTCTTCAAGAAAGCCCTCCCCGCACCTACCACCGATCGTATAAGATTTAGGCCTCACAAAAATATATCTGCTCTTAGCTAACAATTTTGAATATTCTGTTTCCTACAGAGGCACATGCATCCACATCCATTCTTTTCTGTTAAACGTCTCTGTAGGCCCTGTACATGGCTTGCTCCCAGCAGCTGCCTTACACTAGGCCCATTAGCCCTTTAAGCTTGACTTAGTTCATACTTCTTATCTCCCAGTCTTACTAGTTCCTGCCTCTACATTCAGACTTCGCATCCTCACTTTTGTCTTTCATTTAGTGATCTATTTGGACTCTTTCTCTACTTTTTTAAATTAGCATCTCTTCTAGCTCCCAGCTCTGCCTGCTGATTGAGGCATCCCCTGTGGCTTCTGATCACTCAGGTGGACCTTAATTACCTCACAGAATGACACCACCCATCTTCTTCGTGGCAGAGGCTAATCTTTCAGCCTCTGCTTTACACCCAGCCTTTCGAGGACTTTGCATAAGAAATGAGCGCCTTGTTTGTCTGTGATTTTACCCTCTATGACTGCACTCATACTGTCTGCCCAGCTGTGTACACATTCAGGTGTCTTTCAGCCTAACAAACCATTCTGCTCTGTATCGTCCTCTTTCTCTCCTTACCACCTCAGTCAAGATTCTTGATTGCTGGTACTACATAACCCTCTGTTTACTCATTTCTGCTTTACTGCTCAGTTCTTTCCTACCTAATGCTTCTCTCTGAGATCACCAAATGTCTCCTTAATACCAAATACAGTGGGCTCTTTTAAGCCTTTACCTGAGGCATTAAACACTGAACACTTACTTTCTTCTTGGAAATCTCTCATCCACTGGCTTTTCTGATAGTATTCTTTTAATTTTACTTCTAACTCACTGACTGCTACTCCTTAGGGATTCCTTTGAGGGATTCTTTTCTGTTTTAGTCCCATAAATGTTAGTGTTGTCCAATGTTTTATCCTCAGCACTTCTCACCTCTTTATTCCTCCAACTGAGTGATCTATTTTTTTCATTCATTCATTCATTCATTTGTCAATATTTGTTGAGCACTTACTATATGGTAGGTACTGTGCTAGATGCTAGGGAGACTGTGATGAACAAGACATATATAATCTCTGCATCATAGATCTTAGTCTACTCGGGGAGATAAATATTAACCAAATAATTACAGTCCCATTGCTTTAGTCATCATGTTTTTACTGATAACTCCTAGGTCTGTGTGTGCAGCTTGCTTGATTATTAGGTAAATTACAGCCAGGACATCTGAAGTAATAAAAATCACTGAGATGGCAAAAAAAAAAAAAAAAATGTGATTACTTTGAGCTGAGGCATTTCATGAGGCAAAAGCACTGAATCGATCACTTTTAAAGATTTTGTATATTATTACCCCAGGTTTTAAACTGTCTATAGAACTATGGTGTGCAAGAAGGATGCTAAGAATCTGAGATTCTCATTCAGGCTCTATGACTAAGACACCTTCAACCTAATGTTCTTCACTAAATGTTTGCTGTTAAATTAATTTTAAAAGGTTAATAGAATAAAATATGTATGAGAATAGCTATCTTTCTTTATAGTTAAAATGATAACACAATGGAATTGAGTTGGGGTGACCATATACTTCAGTCTTCCTGGGATATTTCCAGTTTATATCTGTTATGTCAGCAAAATAAAAACTTCACCTCTTTCACTTCCAGAATTGTCTAGATTTAGACAGTAGATTATGTGGTCACTCTAAGCCCATTTCTCAAAGAAAACTGTTTTTTAAAGAAATATTTGTTATTATGCTTGCTATTTTTAAAAATTCTATTTTTTTTAACTTGCTTGCAGTAAAAGATTGATGGAGTACAAATATTCCTGGGATAAGATTCTTTCATTCCTTACTTTTACTAAAAGGGAAATAACCAGTATAAAAAATGAAGTATATGATCATTTTCAAAATTGGACTTCACTGAAAGGAGAAGTTTTTCTTCAAATTAAAGCCATAAGTGAAAAAGCCTTGACAGGTTTGTTATATACATATAGAATATAATCCTCTCTTCTTTTTTTGTAAATTGTGCATCATAAATAATGAAATAATGATATTTTTATTTTATGTGATGGGACTTATGATTCACTTTAAACTTGTTATTGGTTAGCAGACTAGATGGTTATTATGATCTGTTTGAACCCTGAAAATCAATAAACATAGGCTGATCTAAGATAAGCAATGATAAATCTTCCTTCCTTCCTTCTTTCCTCCCTTCCTCCCTCCCTTCCTCCCTCCCTCCCTCCCTCCCTTCCTTCCTTCCTTCTTTCCTTTCTTCTTTCCTTCCGACATTAGTTAATGAAATCCAGTAAGTTTCAGGAGTACAATTTAACAGTAAGGCATATGTTTTGCATTGTGTGTTCACCTACCCTAGTTAGATTTATTTCTGTCACCACGTATTTGACCCCTTTTACCCCATCTACCTCCCCCCTCCCCCACCCCCTACACTCTCCCTCTGGTAACCACTAGTCTGTTGTCCATGTCCATGAGTCTTTGTTTGTTTGTCCTGTTTGTATGTTGCTTTTAGGTTTATATCCCACGTATAAGTGATATCATGGTTTTCAACTTTTTCTGTCTGGTTTATTTTGCTTAGCATGATTATCTCAAGTTCCATCCCTGTTGTTACAAATGGCAGTATTTCATCTCTTCTTATGGCTGAGTAATATTCCATTGTACTTATGTTATGTTCTACAGCTTTTTTATCCAATCATCTATCATAGGACGCTTTGGTTGCTTCCGTATCCTGGCCACCGTGGATAAATCTATTCTCGAGCTGTGGCCAGAACTTGGTTATTCCTGTGACATGTAGTAATTTATATTTTAAAATGTTTTTTTTAAATGGCTGAGTAGCTCATATTATATCAGCTTTCTCACATATAACAGCAATAAATTCTGTATAAAATAACTACCTAAAAACACTAGAGAGGGACCAAAACCAAACACACATGGAGGAAATGTCAAAAATTGAAAAAAGACATCTTACTAAGTGAAAGAAGCCAATCTAAAAAGCTACATACTGTAAGATTCCAACTAAATGACATTCTGGAGAACGTGAAACTATGGAAATAGTAAATAATAGGTCAGTGGTTGCCAGGGTAGGAAGGAAAGATGAGTAGGTAAAACACAGAGGATTTTTAGGGCACTTATTATTTTATATGATATTATAATAGTAGATACATGTTGTTATACATTTGTCAAAACCTATAGAATGTATAACTCCAAGAGTAAATTCTAATGTAAACTATGGATTTGGGGTGATAATGATGTGTCAGTGTAGGTTCACTGATTATAAGAAATGGACTTCTCTGGTACATTATGTTGAGGGAGGTTATGCATAATTGGGGGCAGGGATTATATGGGAAGTCTCTGTACTTTCTGCTTAATTTTGCTATGAACCTAAAATTGATCTAAACAAGTCTAATAAAAAATATTTTTAATTAAAAGAAAGAAGGACAAATTAGTAATTGATAGTTGGTCATGGGCATGGGTAGTGCAGCATAGGGAATGCAGGCAGCAGTAATATAATGGTTAGATATAGAGCCATTTATATTTACCTATAAACCATTTATATTTATATATAAACTATATAAATGTCTAACCAATGTACTGTGCACTTGAAACTAATAATAAAATTAAATTTTTAAAAAGTAATTTAAAAAAGGGGATTGGCACTGGGGGAATTCCATGTTTTTTGTTTGTTTGTTTGTTTTTGTTTTGTTTTTTAAGGCTGTTAGATTGAGGGCGGGTACAGTGTGTTCCATGCAGTAAAGCCAAAACTCTGATAAAAATATGTAGTCTGTTTGGCTTGAAAACTGGAGGACAGAGATCAAGGCAGCCCCAGCCTTTGAGGAGTAAGAAGATACCCCAGAAAAGACATAGTTAGAGAGGGAGAGCTCAAATCTTGTATATAAAATCTTTCCAAATCTCTGGCTTATGTGTGAAATGCACGTGCACAGGAAAGACTCTAAGCAGCCCATCTAAGGCTAAAGTAATTGATATTTTAGCTGCCACCTACCCTAGGGGAAACAGATTTTACAGTTTAAGTTCATCCAAGTTAACTACTCCTTAAAATAATATACAAATTCAGTACTATTTAGAGGAGCATAACAGAATCTGAAGTCTCCATAATATAACATCCACAATGTTCATGATACAATCCCAAATTACTTGATCTGGGAAGAAACACAAAAATATGGTCCATACTCAAAAGAGTAGATGATCAATAGAGAGCAATCCTGAGTTGATCCAATGATATAATTAGCTGACCAGAATTTTAAATCAGCTGTTAACTGATATAAAGCTGTTCAATGACCTAGAGGAAAATAAGATAGTAATGAATGAAAAGATAGAAAATCTCAGCAAGAAATTACTGAAAATTGGACATTCAAGAATTGAAAAATATAGTATCTGAAAATAAAAGTTTACTGGATGGACTTTTATAGCATATTGTGATTATAGAAAAAAGAACCAGTGAACTTTAATACAGATCAATAGAAATTATTTAATTTGAAGAAGAGAGATAAAATAAACATTAACAAAATTAATAGAATGCCAGGGTCCTCAGGAAGGATTAAAATGCACCATAAATGATAAATATGGGTAAATATTAAAGACTTTTTCCCTGTGAAGTTTTAAAAAATTCATATGCTAAAAATAAGAATTATAATATTGTGGGACTTATGAAGTATGTTGATTTAACATATGACAACTAGAGCATAAAGGATAGCAGGAGGGGGTAAATAAATCCACATGGTTGCACTCTTTATGTATTTTATGTGATATGGTGCAACATCCATTTTATGTAGACTAAAAAGTTAAGGATGTATAATTCTCAGAGCAACCACTAAAAAATAAGCACCAAAAGATTTTAAAAAACAATAAATAAATCAAAAGGTAACTCTTTAAAAATATTCACACAATGGAGAATTAATATCACCTGATTCTAAGATTTATTATAATGAAGTTACAGTGTAGTACCAGCCTATTGATCAACAATAGATCAATGAAACAAATAGCCTGGTGTATGACCCCTATTTAAATGATCATTTCACTTTTGACAAAGACACCAAACAATCCAATGGTAAAAAAAAAGTCTATCAGTGAATTGTGCTGGAACAACTGAATACCCATATGAGAAAATATACCTTGCTTCCTATATTACATCATACATAAAAATTAAGATAAATCATAGGACTAAATATAAAAGCTAAAACTATAAAAGAAGAAACATAGGGAAATGTCTTCATAAAGTGGTAATAAATAAAGGGTTTTTTGGATAAGATAAAGAAGTAAGAACTACAAAAGAACTTCATATAATTAAAAACTCTGTTCATCAAAAGATGCCACTGAAAAAAAATGAATAGATAAGCCACAGACAGAAAAAAGACACTTTATAAGAAAAGATATACAAATGGCCAGTAAGAACATGAAAAAGTGCTCAACATTATCAGTCATAAAGGAAATGCAAATGTCACCAGTACATACCCACTAGATTGATTAAAATGAAGAAGATCAACAATAAATGTTGATGAGGAAGGAGAGCAACTGGAACTCACTTATAATGGGGGAGAGTATAAAATGCTAGTCACTTTGAAAAAGGTTTGATTTTTTTATAAAACTAAACCTACATCTATGTGGTGACTCTGAAATTCTCTTTGGTATTTATTCCGCCCCCCCCCCCAAAAAAAATTGAAAACATATGTCTACAAAAATACTTGTATAAGAATATTTAGCAACTTTATTCAAGCTTTATCAAAAATAGCTTTAAACTGGAAAAAGGCCAGCAGTAGATCAATAGAATGGATTATTTAATAATAAAAAAACTGAGTAAACAGTGAAATAAAGAAGAAATAGCAGATAATACAATTAACTTGGATAAACCTAAAAAATTTTGTGCTTCCTGAAAGTTAACCTTATACAAATGATACACATTGTATGACACCATTGGTATGATGTTCTAATCTAGGCAAAACTAATATATTGTGGAAAAAAATCAGAACATTAGTTATCTTGGAGGGGAGGATTGACTGGAAGGGGGGCACAAGGACACTTCCTGTGGTGATGATAATGCTCTCTATTTTGATAGAGGTTTGTGTTGTATAGTGCATGCATTTGTCAAAACTTATCTAATGGTACATTTGATATTTGTGAACTTCGTATGTAAATTGTACTCAAAAATAAGAAATTTGTGTATTGAATGCTAATTATCGATGTGCATGCTGAAGTGTTTAGGAGTAAAGTATATTGATGTCTGCAACTTATCTTGAAATGCATAAAAATATAAGATGGATAGATAGCTATGTAAAGCAAACAGTAATATATTAACCGAAGAATCTACATAATGTGTATATTTGTGTTCATCGTGCAATTCTTTCAACTTTTCTGTATATTTTAAAATTTTTGTAGTTAAATGTTAGAAAAAAGAAATCATTCTAACCATACAACTTCAATTTGCTAATTTTGTTACATGATAAGTGCTTTCAGGAAATGAGTTTGTATATGACGATATCTTTTTAAATTTTTAAATTAATTTTAAGAATTAGATTTAGACAAATACAAATCTAACAATCATGTTTTCAACTGCAAAAATAAATAATTTTTAATACTTTTTCTTTTAAAAAAGAAAAATATATTTTAAATAAAATTTATACTTTAATATATATGCATGCATGAATTATATTTATTACCTTTCCATTAGATTTTAAATTTTACATAGATGGTATCATATTTGTAGGTATACTGTGAACTTGCTTTTTTCATTCAGTGATGTTTTTGAGATCAATATTAACATAAATATTATATATATGTTAGTATCTTACTTCTCCCGGAGGCAGGCATTGAATCAAGATATGAGTATAGGTGGTTTATTTGGGAAGTGAAAATAACCAGATAAAGGGAAAAAAAGGCAAGTAACAAAGGTTACCCTACTGAGTGGACATCTGGAGCTTAATCCCAGGAGGGAACTCAGAAATGGTTTAA